TGATGGAACATCGCTCCAACCTTATCATCAAAATCATTTGAGCGATAGTCATATTTATTCATACGTTTGCGAGTTTGATCCAGGATATCTGGGATGTAACACTTTCTTGTCGGATTCTGCCTTTCAGAGGTAACCTTGCTATCTACTACTTGCGCTTTTTTACCCTACATTACCCGACACACGCGAATTTTCCTCACTGTGGAAACCAGCTCTAAAAAGCTCCTCAAATTTTCTGCCGGCCAGTGGAAACTATCCGGCAAGGTGAAAACCACTATCTTGGTTTAAGAAATCGTGAAGCATAAGATTCAGATCACTGATGCTAGCGACCGTTTTTACTAGATTATTTCCCCACGAACACCTGGTTGATAAATCAATAAGTGAAGTAGGAAGGGGGTAGAGAAGGCAAGTTGTATTCAGACTTCCATCGTTCTCTTTATCTATGACTTAATAGCTTTTTTGGCTTCGCAATAAGAAGAAAGAAGATCAATACACGGAATACAAAATAATATTATAGAACACGAAATTATCCAGGGATAAATCGAAAAGGAAAATAGAACGGTTAAATTGCGAGAAGTTTCACCATAGAAACTTTGGAACTGAGATGATGATATTTCTAATAAGAACTAACTACAAAGGGATCCGCTAAAACCCCTTCTACATTAACACTCTCCCACAGCGGTAACCGGCCGTAGCAGCTGGGCGACCCCAAAAACATGAAAGGAGAGGGGGATACGACTTCAGTCTAACTGAACACGATGAGAAGCACTTGTTGTGTGAAACGATGGATGTGGGCAGTATGATCGAAGCGCTGGTCGTCCGTTCTGGCGATGTCGGTGCTAATTACGGCTCAAAACGGCATATTTTGATTCAATGAGAGGAATAGAGAGGAAAGCGGAGTGTGTTGAGTGCAGTTAGTTAATTATGCCTCGCAAATGGGAGATGGTGCCGCGGATAGCACCGCTGCATGAGTTATATTCACTACATATGTTGCGTGATTACAAACGCTTAGCGATAAATTGCTCAAACGAACGCGGAATGATTGTGTGAGGGCGTGTGGGTCCCGTCACGAGATACCATCTCCACCTTGAATTTATAACACATATAACATTGAGTTGTCAGTTTTGTGATGACGGAATCGAACATCTTGGGTCAGGTTGAGAGAGACTGGCAATCGTCAAAGATTAGCAGATTCACATTGACGTAGGCCGGTGAGGATTTAATCTATCACTCTGATGTTGAGCATATGTAATATTGTATTAGTACGCCGAGCAATTAGATGAAATGTATTGAGAGTCACAAGGTAAACAACCATCTGGTGCATTTGAAGAGCCTCCTCCATTCCGAAAGTTGAGCGATGAAGAGAGACACGAGAGGAGAAGTGAAACGAAAGCTGGTAATATAGTGGTGAGGAATCATTCCCGGAGAAGTCATGATTCATATTCACCGAAATCACTGCTTAAGACCACATCATTGATAGGAATACAAAGACAAAAAAATGCATTTTGTATTGGTTATAAGATTTGAAAAACCGGTTAAGAAATGCTAAGCGTGGCAAAGTTCCCGCCATACATCTGTCACAAATGCTGAAGGCGGAACTTTTCCACCTACAAGGGAGGTCGTTCAGGTGTGCCAAGCTTTTTCAAAATGGTTCTTGCATGACATTGGGGCACATATGGGGACCACAGAAGCATGGTTCATTTTTCCTGAACGGCCCTCTGAATACCAGAAAAGGGGTCCCTAGTTCGATTCCTCGTGGTGACAATTTTTGCATTTCGTGTTGACGTTTCCAAATTCGCGCAAAATGGAGTTAGCATGAATAATTAGTACCAAATTCATGATTAGGACGTCAGTAACCCTTACAAATAGACTTTGATTGAAAAACTGGTGAAAAAGGTGTGACTAGGGACCCCCTTTTCTGGTATTCAGAGGGCCGTTCAGGAAAAATTAACCATGGTTCTGTGGTTCCCGCATGTGCCTCTATATCATGCAAAAGACCGTTTTGAAAAAGCTTGGCACACCCTGAAAGACCTTCCTTGTTAGTTCTCTGAATGCCGTCAGGAACTTGACCTTTTGACTTACTGTATCAACACCTCACACTTCTACTGCATCATATCTTATCGATTGTTCTGTCTCTATTCTCTAAAATCAAACGCTTCAACCGGATTTCTTTCTTGACACGCGTCCAAGCACACTTCTGCATGCCCGGCTTTGGCGCCGTGCGACCTACCTTCGAATATCCACAGAGTGCGGTTTTCGTCAGTTCCGCTTCGCTTCGAAACCGAATCTTCGTACGTGGAATTTTGTGTGTTGTCGTCTCTGGTGATCCAACATAACATGTTTGATGGGCGGAAAACATTTACGAAGAATATTACGAGAAGGATTCCTTCAATGAACTCAAAAAACTTTCTCATAATTTTGGACTTGTGTTTGTTGGTTGACTACTGTATTTGGCGCATTTCGCATTGCGAATATCTCACAAAAATGCTGGGTTGTGAACAAAACTTCGAGCCCCATAGGGAATCGAACGCGCACCTCTTGCTTACCGACGAACAAATCTGACAACAGCTACAGATTCTTTTTTTACACATTCGACTACTTTGTTTACACTTACGACTACGACTTCGTATTCCAAGCAAGAGTCAAATACTTTTAGCACAGCGTCCAGTCCTCATTTAAACTGAACATTATATTATAATTATAACGACGCCAATGAGAATTTCTTCCGCTTACCTGAGAGATTGCTAGAGTATTACCTAGATCGAGCTGTTACGTATAACCAGCACTTCTTCCTTTGCCTCAGCGCTAATTGTTAGATAAGCACTTTCCGGTGGGCGCCGGGCCTGCAGGTTCTGTTCGTGAAGACGAAAAACCTAAATATCTACCTTCATGGGAGCATATACCTTTGTTTTTATATTATGTATTACAAGTTGCGTTTTTATTTATGTTGAGCAGGTAGTAAACCAGTCAATAGACTAATAAAAAAAGTGTTATGTTCATGCGGAGAGTTATAAACCTCCTGGCGTGTGGGTCTTGCTGAGCGAGGAAACATGACCTGCTAGCGATTTCGACAGAGTGCAGTATGCCTCATGGGGTGCACAAGGAAATTGTTATCGCACCCTTGTGAAATGAGTAGCAGTCATTGAGCCGACTCTCATACTAGTCGTCCCCTCATGGAAACCTTGGAATTATTTGTCGAAATGTATAGTCTTTAGACTTGCTTGCCCATATTATCACAAGCTAATCGCGGATGTTACCAGCGACGGAACTTCGGTGGACTGTCCACTATTTCAGCATTTCTTGACACTGCTTCGCCAGCGCTAGTGAGGAAGACTTGGTCGGGTAGCTAACAGATCGAAGGCTCCGAGCTACATATGTTCAGGCCTATGAAAGACGGAAGAGTCCAAACGTCTAGCCATGCAATAAAAATCCACACATCGCCCTCATTTGGCATTGAAAGGCGACACACTTTATAGTGAATTGCCTTAGCATTCAGAGGGCGAGTTCCCATTCTATCGGGGACATTTCAGAGGAGGGTAGAGCCGCGCACAGCCGTTACTTCCAGGTACCCGACAGGAGGCCCGTCACGCGGCAGAAAGCAGAGACGCAGACGGTCAGCGGACGAGTCGCAGCGAGAACTGTGTGATGTGGGACGTACTGTGGCACAATACGTTCCTTTCAAACAGACGCCAAGACGCTGCAGTACGCGCTGCGACTCGTCCGCTGATCTGCCCGCGTCCCTGCCTTCTTGCATTTTCCATCCGTCACCCATGGTTTCCACAGCTGCAAAGCGCTGCATAAGTGTAAGATGAAGCGGCACCAATGAAACATTATAAAATGTCGCTTTGAAAAAGATAAGTAGCATTGTCTTCCGATTTCCGATGATTCTCCGCATAATGAAAGGAAGTTCGGGTGAATGTGATCTTGTATGAATCATTTCGGTGCATAACCAAATCTATTTGAAACATAACGGACCCTCTTTCTTGTAGCGTACAACGGAATTGACACTCGCCCACTTCCCATTTCATACAAGGAAAATGATTCATCCACCCGCGCTCATTCCCTTCCAAGAATTGGAACTATGCTCACGTTGCTCCTCCACTTATCCAATTGGGCCCGGGAATTTCTTGCGGGGCTTGGGCCGACAGTAATTTCTAGAATCTGCGTTCATGAAAAGCTACCCTTCCTTTCAAAAAAACGAGAAAGTGTCGGGTGCAGACCATACACCACAAGTGACGACGGCCTCCAAGTAAATCTGGTTAGTAGTGGTTCATAGTGATAGCTGATTTTTGGTAAATGATAGTTGTAATTAGTGACAACTGATAGCAACTGCAACAGGCTAATCATTTCATTGGCAGAAAACATTTACATTTTTGTGGAGGCCGTCGTCACTTGTGGTGTATGGTCTGCACCCGACGCTCTTCTCGTTTTTTTTAAAGAGAGTATACTTACCCGCGCCGTGCCAATCTTTGCACGTAAATGACGCTTCATTCAAGAGGGTCGAACGCTCGTTGGAATTTTTCAGTTTCCTTTTCACATCACTAACTACAGTACCTCGGATTGATTCTAATTTTGTCGCTTCAAGCAAGAGCCCGACTACAACTACATTCAGGATGAAGCGTATAGAATTTCTGTAGGATTTTTGAAAAGCTAGCTACATCTATCTTTATTCTAGCACAATAATAAACGATTTTGTATTCATGAACACAATTGTGTGAGATGAAAAATACGATATAGAGGCAGTATCCCGTATGCCGTACATCAAAATAACTATTAGCTAGTCATAACTAGGTATATACAAAACCAAGCAACCTTAAACCACGATTCCACAAAAACACAGGGGAAATATGCCGACTGTTCCTAAGGAGAGCGTAGATGGGAGACGTTTCACGCCGAAAATGCGTGAATGACCAGTGTACAGAAATATTTCAGAAACGGTAAAAAAAACAGTTGCCTTTTCTATTAGTAAAGGTCCCATAGGAAATACCCAACCCATAATGACATCATTGCTGACATAGAAATGTCTTGTAATGATGAACGGCTACAATTTTTTGTTTCACTTGTTTGACAAAATCGTGCGGATGCAACACGATGGTGAATTCGCTACCGTCGCGGATCTGAAACGCTTGCGAATTTTGATGTTGATCGATATGTATAAAAACCACGAGGCGTACCTCGTCAAGTCGCTTGAAAAGCTGGCTGTTTTTTGAGAAAGGATTCAGTCGACGCTTGTTCACTTCGGTGATTACCTGAAATGAAGCAGTGAGGTACTCAGGAATGCTAAAAAAAAAGTTAGATATCAAAAAGTTGTTAAACACATAGACAGATTAGGCTCACCGCAGCAGTCTCAACGCCGGGTCGTAATGGTGATGACATCGATATAGGTATGTTCCGCCGATCAGCCGATGAGTCGGGAAGTATGTTGGCAATCTAAAATCCAAAAATTTTTTGATTTTTTATCAGCCAATAGGAGTTCATAAATGAGCCTTTTCGAGCCTCGTTCTATGAGAACGATGAGTTTTTTGCAGTGCAGCACTAAAAAAAGTAATGTTACTGTTACATGTTATAACCATTATTTGAAGCGAGAACCTCAGATGAGGTCATGTGGTACAATCATTTTGGGGTAGGATAAGAGCAGAGTCAACCCTGCGTTGCGCAGTTCGCAACGGCACGTTGAGAGATCCTCAACGCACGCTGTATGGGCGGAGACACAGACGGCTCGAGCATGCGAGTGTGAATGTTCGCGCGAGAGAACGTGTCTAATCGGGCGAAACTGCGCAACGCACGGTTGACTCTGGATACAAGTATTACGACAACTAAATTGGTGTTGCAGCTCGAAAGAACACGACAATGGCATCCATGATATGCAACGTGGACTACCACGTAGCAGCCAATTCGAATACGCGCAGGCTCGTGAAGCCCGTGGAGCAAGCAGTTCATAGAACTTCGCTGGACGCAACCCTCCCTCGTTTCGAGGCTTTTGTGAGGGCTTCATCGGCGAGTTGCTTTACTTTCCTTTCCGATTTTTCAGTGTTGTCCATTCTTTTCATTACGCGACCGCTGTCGGCACCTATTTGATCTTGAGCTGTCTTTATATTTAATTGTTATTAACGCCGTTTAATACTAACCAGTTGGCGCCGCACGCGTTGCGCGCACAGCACAGTTTTGCAGCGATATGGGGTGGTGCGGCGTAAATTCTCGAACAATGGCAGTTGACCTCCCTTTCGTTGACGGACTCAGTTCACCTTTTTCCCGGTCTCCAGGACCTCTTGGAACCGAGTTATGAATTTTCGTTGATAACTCCGCCCACTTTGAACATGCCCCGCCCACCGATGACAGCTGGCCTCCACTCCTCCACCCACCTCCATCCACCTTTTTTCCCTGCCTCCGGGACTTCTTGGAGCCGAGTTATGAATTTTCGTCGCAAACTCCGCCCACTTTGGTCAAGCCCCGCCCACCATTGACAGCTGGCCTCCACTCCTCCACCCACCTCCATCCACCTTTTTCCCGGCCTCCGGGACTTCTTGGAGCCGAGTTATGAATTTTCGTCGCAAACTCCGCCCACTTTGGTCAAGCCCCGCCCACCGATGACAGCTGGCCTCCACTCCTCCATACACCTCTATCCACCTTTTTCCGGCTCTTTAAGACTTCCCCGACCCGAATTATGAGGGCTTGTAGAAAATGCTGTACACTTCAGAGCGCGCCCCGCCCATTCTGGGCGGGCCTCCGCCCACGTCATGTATGCAGGAAACACCTTAGACATTGCTCCCTTACACCAAATTGTTTTCTGCTCTGTAGGCTTTCTCCCAACCGAGTTATGAAATTTTTCATAAAGCACTGCTTTTTTAGAGAACGCCCCGCCCACCGGGGGTGGGTCTCCCTAATTCGATGTGACTTACCAATGCACACCTTTACCCACTTTTTGGCCCAGTTTCGAGGTCGTTTTGTCACTGAAATCGAAATCTTGGTCTTCGGTACATTCATTTCGACGCACGCCACGCCCTCTGTGGGCGGGGCTCCGCTTAGCTGATGTGTGTTTTGTATTCGTGAGACCTTGCCCACCCATCCCACACTTGACCCGGTCCCTCCAGGCGGATCCCGAGGAGCTAGGGAATTTCGTGACAGACACACAGACAGACGACAGACGACAGACGACAGACGAAGCGCTTTATAGTTAGTAGGATGGTGAACGGAACGCTTGTCCCACCAATAACCTCGTATAAAATCGAAGTTTTGTAACTCAACAGTCCGATTCAGCAGGAGAACAAAATGATTATCGTCGTTTGTCAGGCAAACATGAACCGTTCAAGATACGCACGATATTATTCCATGGCTTCTTGTATCTAAAGAAGGAAAAGCCACTCTTGAAATTGAGTGAGCGTTGGAAATTTCTCCAACACAGAAGAGCTGAAGAGCGGAATAGGTGGTAACTGGTTGGCCCAATATCATGGTTATAATGAACGTTTACGGCTGTGATAGACGAAGAAAAACTGTCCTCATAAAAGTTTCCCATATTTCTTGAACTTCCATTACAATATGGGTATAGCCTTAACTCTAAAAAGTACTTAGCCCTTCACTTCAAATGCATTGCGACGTGATCAAATCGCTTGTACCGGACATCTGCACCGACTGTGGCACACCAGCAGGTGAGAAGCCCCCAGCGCCTGTATTACCGTATATCACCATTAACTCAAAAGAAAGGTTTCTTTGAATGAGATAGAATTATATCCGTCGAAAATAACGAGTGTTTAGAACTAAGACAATACCATTAGCAGGGCTGGCTAGCACACGGCTCCACTTCACTACGACAATAACTACAGAAAATCCAGTAGATATTATGAGGAGAACCGAAAAGGAGCACGGCATTTTGGACTGGAGTGAGTTCGGCACTTGCTGAATCCTAACGCTCGATACCTCCGAATCTTTCCTAGCTCATGAGGAATACGTTAATACTGTCGGCCTGCTGCATAGAAAGCACCCTGCAAAGCAAAATCCAGCACGCAAAGAGCATCAGTACTGCCAGCTATGCAGGTGTGACTCCCTTTGAGAAAAAGTCACTTTGTTGGAATTCAATATGCCAAAGCCCCTTGGGTAGAGAGGCCGTACCTTCCCCCACCGTTTGATTACTTCCTCAAAGAGTCTGATGCTCGAACATTTCAAAAACGCTCTCATAACAAAAAATAATGCACTGAGAAATCGTGAATAGTCATATGAAGCAATGAGCATAAAACTGAGCTGGCTGAATTGAGTGATGCAAAACTGTCAATGTGGAAAATAAACTTCAAGGCATAATTAGAAGCACTGAGAATTCTCTTAGAAACCCTGAAGTTAAAAGTGCTAAAAGTGTAACGTGGTCTGAAAACTAGGATCTATCTAAAAGTTTTTCTGAAAACTACTGACGTACATTTGAAACAATCCGATAAAACGATCTTTCATACGTCACAACTATATCCAATAGGAATTCGAATGTTATTCGGAATGAGTAGTAGGAATGAAACCGTAAAGCCCAGGGCATCCTTCTTCGAAGGGATAAACATAAAGCGCATTGCAGCGACAGGCGCCATGTATATATGGCTTGATTTTAACTCGCCATACAGATTGTTACAATTGAACTGCGATATTCGATCATTGTTCCGAATAACTCGTCGTTTCGAGGACCTGACGGCGGAAGTGGTGTAGTGGCAAGTGGCGCGCTTACCACGCGAGCGGTCCGGGGATCAAATCCTGGGTCGTGAGTCGCCCGGGCCAACCAAGCCTTCCATCCCTCCGGGGTCGGTTAATTGGTACCAGACTTGTCTGGGAGGATAAAAACACTGACTTGTACATCGGCTGGCCCCCGCAAGTCATTGTATAGGCCACATCGCATTCAAACGCCACTACGAATGTACAAAAAGTAGAATGCGTGCCGCATCCCAAAAAGGGATTGATCAACGGCAAATGCTTTATCCTTTTCGATTTTACCCGCTCCACTTCTCTACTAGTTTCCTTGAGAAAATGTGCAGAGGTCAAAAATAATGCGACAAATTCAGCTGCCATGTTTCCAGTTATAGGGAGCTCAGCAACCCACAGGTGTGCGGGGGATTAATAAATAAAGTGACGTTTGAGGTCAGTAAGTTAAGGGAGATTAGGCAGAATTGGTAGAGTATGTAGACGGTTAGTAAAGAGTTCCAGGAAATCGACCATAGCATGAAATGGCGTCCGATTTTGTAATAATT